CCTCACATTAGGGGCAATTTGGAGGTGTATGAAATTGAAGATGTTCTCCTAAAAAATTAGAGATTTGGTTCATAAAAATCAAGAAGAGTCTTAATGATTATTCTAAAATAACGGGAGAAAAAAACAAAATGACACTAAATGAAAGAAAGTGTTATCTAAGTGGCATCTATCGTGATTCAAACTAGAAAAGGCTGTGGAATCCCAAAAAATAATATAAGTGAACATGAAAGGAGAACTAAGATTAGAAGATGAGATCAACTATTAAAATGCCAAAGTTGGTATGGCCAAGCCTAAAATAATTTTGATGGGTGATCATGTGATCTTAAGTCTTTACACCCTTAAGCACCTTTTGAGTCTTTTATAACTTTTTATTCATGAGCCAAAGCCTTAGCTTACATTACATGTTTTCAAAAGCCTTTTCCGATCAAGGATGACTTATTTTGTGTTGATAAGTTTTAACTTAAAAAAGAAAAAAAGAAAGAAAAGAAAGAAAAATTTGCTTATGCATCATAAATCATCATTCATGGTATTGGATTATTAGTTTTCTATTAAATACTTGGGCTGAAGGAATAAATAAAATTAAGATTTTTCTAGATAAAACTACCCATTTGAGCCTAATTTTCTCGAAAAAGCCTTAGAACCTAGCTAAAAAGCCTTTGAGTTAAGAAAACTCATTTAAGCGTGTCTTTCTTGAAAAGCCTTAGAACCTATGACATCTATTCAGAATATCTTACTTTCTTTGAGCCAACATTCGGCACTTTTCTTTCCAAGAAAATGATTTCTTCCCAAACATTTGGTGTGATCCGAATACGTTCCACTCATTTAGCTCGAAAAGTATCACTTTGAGGATTGTATCATTACATTTGCATGATATGTTTTGGCTTTCAACCAAATGATTCAAATATTTTTTTGAATGAGATTATATTCTTGTAAACATCTCTTTGATTTTTTTGAGTAATTCAACTTACTTCGATGAAAATTATTCAAATATACGACCTAATCCATGAAAGTCAAAAGAACTAAAGGTTGAGTCTTTTGAAAAAAATTAAAATAAAAATAAAAAATAAATCAGATCGACTTCACTTTTATTTAGAGTAATAAAGAAATCATCTAAGTTATGGTCAAAATTTATTAGAGCAATCATTTCAACTTCGCTTACCTTATTCTTGCTTTGCCCAACATAACATGATTTACTCTCTTTTATCTTTCAAAATAGCTTGATTTCTATAAATATAATCAATCCTTATAAAGCCTTTTCTTTGGTCTTATGCACGGATGATTGACATCATTTGTGAAATGTAATGATATATCAAATCAGTAAATGATAACATGACAAGAGTTGTTCAAGCTTGATAGACAAGAAGGTTTTCTTTGTGAAACTTAGCATAAGATCCTTCTTGATGAATTAAAGATGGCGAAGCGACAATGAAAACTATCCATATGATTTTTGGGTTGTATTTCTTAATATGTGCTGGCAAAGGCCAAACACTTGGAGGCAATACTTTAAGAGGATGAAAGAACAAAAAACTACCTAGCTAACCATAACAAGCAAATTCCATTCAAACGACATGAACGATAGCTAGGTCAAAAGTTTTAGAAATGGACATAATCGGAAGACATGTGATTAAGTAGATAAAAATCAGTAAGAGAAGTTAGCCTAAAACCTCGAACTTATTTAGATGATGATGACTTACAAATGAGAAGAAGGGGGAAAGTTTATGAGAAGATAGTGAAAATTTATGTTTCTTTAATGACAATTAATTATGCCACTTACACTCTCGTGCATTGTTAATGGAAGGTAACCTTCTTGATCTCGGGAATGGTTACCCGCATTAGCCAATTGCCAACGGTAGGTCACCTTCTCGACCTCGGGAATGGTTAATCTTATTAACTCGTGTTTTGAGGAAGGTCCTTTGCAATAGAGATTTAAGGACAATCGGTCATCATTTGACTTTGTCGATTGATTTGTTTATTTTTTTCTTCTATGATTTTCTTTACAAGCTTCCTACACTAAGCCAAAGAAAACTTAGTTTTATTCAATGGATCCGCATCGCAAGCATTGTAAAGAGGGGATAACTGTTAGCACCCAAAATATTTTCAAAAAAATAAAAAAAGAAAAAAGAAAAAGAAAAGAAGAAGATGAAGATGACTTAGAAAAAAACAATAGAGGGATGCAATTGAGAAAAAGAAACAGACCAAAATAAAATAGGTTTGTGAGATGAGGGAACAAACTAAACTTTATCCAAAAAACCTAAAAACTTGGTATAAATACTCCAATTTTCTTCCTCTCCTCCGACCACTCTCTCTCTTAAAAAAAAACGGATTTTCGACTAGCTCTCTCTCTTGAAAAAATTTCAGCCGACTTTCCCTCCCTAAAGATTTCTAATTAGCCACTTTAGCCGGTCTAGCCCAAACTAGTAACTTTTTAGCCAAACCTCAAGCCGATCTAACTCAATCTAGAAGTCCAATCCTTCCTCTAGTCATTTGATCTTCCTTCCAACAACGATGCCACCGTTAACCACAAGATTTCCTCCACAAGATCTAGCCGCTTAGCCATCCTCCTCTATTCGATCCAGCTCGTTCAACACATCCTCCTCCACTCGATCTAGCTCCACATCGAACTAGTAAGTGATAACCACTCCTTCATCGAACCGAGCACCGTTGGACAACATTTCTAGCACCACCCGATGTTGATCTAGTAGGCTCGAATCTCATTGTCTAGCTCGAATCTCTTTCATTCGGATCAAGTTGCCCAACTTGATTTTCTTTAATCGAAGAAGAAGCCCATTCGGTCTAGCAACTACAATAGCCTAGTCCACTTTCAGCAACCTAGTTTGAATCGATCAATAGTTGCCCAATCGGTCCAATCCCTCCAATAGTCATCCAATCTAGGTTTGACAATGAGCCCTCCTCCCCGTTTGATTGAATATCAGTCTCTATCAAGGTTGAAAAGGTTAGAACCGACCCCAATGCGACGAGTCAAATTAATTCTACCTGTTTTTACAATAATTTATTTTTTTTTACTATTTTATTTTAATACGCATTAAATTTAATTCATGTTGATGTGTCCGCAAATTAATTAATTCCTCGTCGTGTTTATAAATTAATTAAAGTGTCCTTTGTGTGTGTAAATTAATTAAATTGCTGCTATGTATGATTTGATTGAATTGTTGTTGTTGTATGGTTTGTTATTGTTTGTGTGATCTATGGGCCACATCGGTTTGAATCTTGTTTTCGAACCACTTTTGGGCAATCATGATAATTAACCGAGTTATGCCAATTTGTCTTAAGAAAAGAGTGATTCTTACTTTGCGTTGATTCAAACCATGTTTTTGGAATCGTTTTTAGTGATGATAACGTTAAATTGCTCATGCGTTAATTTTATTTAAAAAACACAATTTCGGATCATGCCAACTCGAACCTTGTCGTTTAGGTCATTTTTGTCAAATAACGATTAATTGTGACAATGTCATCAAGTCATCTAAAAAAGTATAATTATTAAACCACGTTGGTCGAGCCTCGTTTCGGACTATTATTGCACATAGTGATGATTAATTTAATATTGTATTGATTTTGTCTAAAAAAACATGATATTCAAGTTCTTTTGATCTAAACTCTATTTTCGTTTTGTGTTTTAGCGATTTTAATTATTGTGCCAATTTTGCTTAAAAGTCACGATATTCAAAGTCATGTTGATCTAAACCTTCGTTGTTGGATCATTTTTGCCATTTTTTGCCAAATTTATTGATTTTGCGATTTTGCCTCTTTTTTTATTGCTTTTATCATCTTTGTCATTATTTTGTCAATTTTGGTATTTATATCACTTTTGTTGTCTTTGTTATTATTTTACCAAATTTTCCATTTTTATCGTTTTTACCAACTTCAATGATTTTACTCGATTTTGTCGATTTTGCCTAATTGCCTATTTATCGATTTTACCTATTTGCCTATTTGTTGATTTTATCTATTTTGCGTAATAGTCTATTTGCTTATTTGTCAATTTTGCCTAATTGCTAATTTGTCAATTTTGCCTAATTGGTTATTTGTCGATTTCACGTAATTTGGCTAATTGCCTATTTATCGATTTTGCTTATTTTGTCTAATTGCTTATTTGTCGATTTACCGATTTTGCCTAATTGCTTATTTGTCAATTAAGTTTATTTTGTCTCGTTTGCCTATTTGCCTATTTTTAAGCCTTGTTTTCATGTATGCCATTTAAGTCACATTAGCTACATATCCTTGTATTTTTTTATTTTTTTTATGTCTTTTCGTCTTTGATCGGCCAAACCCCAAATCACTAGACTAGTAGGCAAATGTTTGGAAAATAGGTATAGACTTTCGTCATAAAAAAAAATTAAAAATCAAATCAATGTTCTATGCAACGCAACTTGCTTTAGGAAGGACGGGGTATGGTGATTTATAATCTTCCATATACGTAATAAAACCCTTATCTAAAACTTTAAACGAGACTAATCATAGGGTTTCCTAATAGCCATAATACTAGGTGAAGACTCTAATTATTTTGCCTATTTTTCATATTTTTGCCTAAACACATTGTCTTCGCCCCCGATGTTGCCTTGCGATAGGAAAAGTCTATTGTTTACCACAAAATAGTTCATAGTCAAATAAATTTTCTTAAAAGTTATAGGTATACATGGGGTTTCATCAATTCTTCAGAACGTTTTTATCTAATTTTTCCTTCTTTTATTGCATAAGCAGTTGCTGGTCATGTATGTTACATTGCTACCTCGTAGATACCAATTGAACTTATTTAAGGTGGTACTGAGTACTGACAACTTATTTCTTTCAGTACCCTTTGACCAAAAGCAAATTATTTCACACAATATTACATGTTGGAACAGAAATCTAAATATATCATATACATTAGAAGTCCTTGCTCAACAGCTCAAGTATGCACAAGGCTCCCAATAAGATTAGATACTTACCTGAAAGTCGTCCTTGCATGTGCAACTCTTGACTTGGCTCTGTAATGTCCGGACCTATATTGGTAAGGAATGTTCTTCTAGCAATTTCTTAAAGGTTGAATTCTCGAACTTTACATCCTCACCTAGTTCCCCTTCTCGAATCCACTTTTCAACTTTGGTCTTTAGGAGTGAAATGCTTTCTTTAATTCCCGGGCTTTCAGTTTTAATGCAGAGCTCCTCTAGCTCTGCCCAAAAACATGATCCCGGAACTTCATTTGGCAACTGCTCAGCATGCTCACGCCACTTTTGGGTGCATTTATACCTTCGTGGCCTGCCCTTTCCCATATAGGGTCCTGTGTCTTCATTCTTGAGGTGTCGATAGTAATTAGCGATATCCAAGGGTTCAACAATGCGACGATACCTGGTACCAAGATCTATCCATGATTCCTGGCACTCAAATTCATCCGGGAGTCTATATCGCTTCAGCATTTCGATTATCTCATCCCATATACCTGCTAGTTCAAGCCTCTCTAGATTGGCATGGAAATCTTCCTCATATTTTGAAATCTTGAAGACATCATAATAGCAGCCTTTGCGAAGTTCACAGTTGCTTTTGTACGCTTGTAGCTTCTTTATTCTTTCCTCAATATCTCTCTTCTTGTCGTCAATTGCAGCCTGGTTCCTTAGCTTCTGCTTCTCCAATTCTTTAGCGGCACTAATGCAGATTCTGGCTCTATCACTCTGGAATACCAAAAAAAAGACATCAGCACAAGTTGTGGGCATCAGCCTGTTATGATTGGTGAAACTATTATGTCCAATTTCAGCGTTCGTGGATTCCAACACACTGTTCTTACTGTGTAAGCAGATAAATTAATCAGGATAATTAACCAAGTTTTGAGGAGTGAGCTTTTGAGCAGCGAAAGAAGGAAAACTTACTAGGCCTAACCCAATTGAGGTCGTGTCAACTGGGACACTCTCATTTGCATCATCTAAAAATAATACAAGTGCTTCTAGATGACCATGATTGAAAAATGACCCAATTTGATCTAAAATTAATACAAGTGCTTCTAGATGACCATGATTGAAACATGGCCCAATTTGCATTTGTAAGCTCTCTCGTAGGCCATCTCTGTAGTTCAAATGATCTCTTAGACTTCTTTGGGCAACTGTCACCTTTTCTTCTTCGGTGCTCAACTGCGAAGAATATAGCAGTACTTGCAAAATAGCATCCGGGTTTCTTTCGACAACAAGTTTCCTATTTTCTATGCAGAAGACATAGGTCCCTAAGGGTGTATAGGGACTTAATTTTATGAAGCTTGATAAAGTCTCTAAAAGGAGGTTTGTGCTTCCCATGATTTTACAGGCAGCATAGCTAGCAACAGAAGATGCATTTTCCATCACGGTTACGTAGAAACCTGGAGCTTCATTGGCAAGCTCATGCTTGTAAAGTTTGGATTTTGGATTGAAGAAATCAAGAACCTGGTGCAGTTGTTTCTCAATGGCTGAGAGAGGAGTGAGTGAAATCCGCGGGACAATGTCATATCTTGTAACAAAATTCACGAAGTAGCGAGACCACTTTTCACGCCTGAGCGCATGACTCATGATGCGATCACCTACAAGGGGAGAACCAAAAGTCAAACAGACAGGGGCCATATCCTCGGAGCCTTGTCGAACGTACAGTTCCAACAACCAAATTGTTGCCAGGATGGCTATAGCCCCTCCTGAAGAATGGCCTGCAAACACAACTTGCTTCCTGAGCGTCACAGCTTTTTCCACCTGAGAAGATTGGAAGCCAGCAACAGACTGGAGTTAATTTTTCATGTTGATCGCTTAGTTTGATGTAACTCGGTAATTCTACAGTTCTAATTTGATCAGTTTTTCAAATTAACAATGTTTTCAATCTCGTATCAGCAATTGTTTTTCCCATAGAACACAACTAGCATCTTACATTTTACAAGTCATAACCATAAGGAAAGTGAGATGAAGTTCAAAGTCAATAACAATAATTATGAGATTGTATGAACATAACAAAACATATATGCATGGCAAGTTATAGGATATCTAAAGCAAAAAAATTAAAAATAAAAATAAATGAATAATAATAACAATAAATCAATCAATCCATCAAACTGACAGTAACAGAATAGAAATCAAACGACCAGAATAGTGAACTCAGATACCTCATTTTTGAAGGGTGGATAAGCCAGAACAGCTTTGAATCTTTTGAGAAAAGCTTCGTTGCATGTAGCAGTTTGATCAAGACCTATGTATTTGAGGGAAGGGAATAGCTGAAGATCCACCTTCACTTCTCCAAAGGAATCATTAGTGAACCATTCATTTACAGACCAAGAACCAGGAAAGCTAAAAATAAACGAGTTTTTAATCTTGTTAGAGAGATAATGTTTCTCCGGAGATTTGTGAGCCTTCATGGACATCAAGATCGCTGTCTTGATGACTTGTTGTTTGATCTCCACGTCCTCTCCAAGCTTAAGGATACCCATTAGCTCTTTATGATTCTTGTCAAACTTGCAGCTTCTGTGGAATTTGCAGCTTTAGAAATTTAGAACTTTGATTCTTTTCTTCTTGTTCTGGTTTTGGAATCACATGCCTTCTACAGGGCTTGCTGCTTTTCCTTAACTTTTTGGACATAATGGGGACGTTACGCAATTCATATCCAATACCATACGTTATTAGATATTAAACTTGATCAAAGCCTAGTTTAAGTCATAGCACAAGTGATATTGGGATTAGAACACACACCGCCTCAATTGCCTAAATAAATTCAGCTTCTTTTTATATAATAAAAATTAATGAGATCACATTAAAATAAGAACGATAATAAACATATAAGACACCAAGAGTTTTTTTCATGAAAAATTCCTTCTAAATGAAAGAGAAAAACCACAGGATTGTGGTCCACTAAAAGACTTCTATTATATATGTTAACATCCAATTTTTGTCTCTATAATGTTTTTTTTTACTCCAAAAATACAAAATAATAATAATAATAATAAACAAAACAAAAAAGATAAAAAAAATCAATTGAAACAATTAGCTTAGATTAGTTCTAGGAGAGGACTAAATAATAATAATATAAAAAATACAAAGTTTGGAAATAGAAAAAAGACAATTGAGGGTATAATTAACAAAAAAAAAAAAAATAAAAACTTTAGTCTCTTAATTAAATTAAAAAAGGGGCATAATTAGAAGAAATTAAAAAATCTCAATTAATTGAGATTTAAGAGTCCCATTGAAATGAACAACAAAAATCGAGGGATCATAGGGAATCGAGGATCAAATTGGACTTTTGCAAAAAAAAAAAAAAAAAAAACAAACTAAACAATGCCTATAAACCCTCCATTTTTTGCATTTTTTGATATTCTACTATTCATCTCCCTCATCTTTCGGACACAATTGACTCTTTACAACCACAAACTCGACTCGAAGCTCCCCACCCTAAGTGCTCCCCTCTCATAGCCTCACAAACACCCACACCAATAGCCTTCCCACTAGCTTCCCACACAATAGCCCTTCGCCGAGTGCCCCTTTCACTAACCTCCAAGCCATCGCCCACACAACCCTCGCCATCGCCCATAACCCTCCCCACGCGCAAACAACCCTCTCACCATCGCTCACAACCCCCTAAAAGCAACCCAACCTTACCTCATGCCAGTAGCACATCAACCCGACCTCGCCTCATGCTAGTAACGTAATAGCTAGGACAACGCCACTCAAGCTAGTAGCCTCGCGCACATGCCTAGTTGCCCGAGTAGTCTCACGTATGTGCCCTACAACTTTGCGGCCTCGCACACCATAGGCCAACGAGTAACAACCCTCACCCAAGCTCCCTATCGTGCCTCAGCCGGATAGCAGCCTCATCACGCACACTCGCAGCTATGAACACACATCATCCAACGGTGTTAGGCCTCCTCGTAACCACTTAAGACACTAGTGCCGTGCCCTCTCGCACTCGACCGACCTCGTAGCCGGTCGTGCACCCTACAACCTAAATTGGCCTCACAGACCGGCCGCACGCCCATAGCCACCTCGTGTATAGCCCATATAGCCTTGAGCTAGTAGTAGCAACTCCTCATAACTAAGCACCACCTCGAGCCAAGCAACCCCTCGAGTAGCTAGGTAGCCTTTTCTCACATGCCAAGCAACCAACCAGTCACTCTTCCCATATAAAAATTATAGTCCAATTTGTTGTGTTTAGTAGGAATAACATGATGTTGTAGACTATATTTTCATTAATTTTTTATTGAAAAAATACAGTAGTAACTTTATTGCTAAGCTCCCTCAATTTGCAGCAACATTAGCCACTTTCAAAGAAGTTGAAAATTTACAAGTTGTTGTAAAATTTATAGTAACTTTGGCGATATCAACAACCTTAACTACTAGTGCTAACTTTAGAGAGACTTCCAAATCACTTTAATAAGATTTATACAATTTTTAAAAACTGCATAGCTTATTCTCCTTCTTTAACTAACCGAATAATTAGTTATCATTAGAGACGAAACGAGTAGAACCGACCCTCAAATTGAACATTTAAACTATACATTTAAACTGTAGAACATTTTTAGATAAAACCTCTAAAGTGATTGCACTCCTTTAAAATGAAAATGAAATGCTCACATTTCATTTATATATTCATGATTTAAATGTGGTTGAAGTGAATATTGTTGTAATTGTCATTATGAACAAACTACTCTATTTTAGATCCGCACTCTTAATTCAAAGTTTGTGCCTATTTTTGTGGTTTGATTGACTTATCGTACTTGATTGCAATGCTGAATTGAAGCCGTAAGTGGTTTCGCAGTCATTTTATCGTTTTTCTATTTGCTTAAAATAAAGTTGCTAGTGGCTTCCCACTTATATGGATGAAGCTGCTGGTAGCTCTCGAACCAATTTTATCTAATTTTTTTTAACTCAAAATGAAGCCACTAAGTGGCTTTCCACTTATGTGGGTTGAGTTGCTATTGGCTCTCGAACCAATTTTATTTAATTTTAAAGTGTTGAAACAATGATTTCAGTAGCTTCCTACTTATATGACGAAGTCGCCATTGGTTTTGAAACTATTTTATTGATTTTGTACTTTCTTGAAATGAAGTAGTTAGTGGCTTTTCAATTATGTGACAAAGCCACTAGTGATTTCAAAGATATTTTACTTGATTGTCTACTTATCCGAAATGAAGCTACCTATGGCTTCTCATTTATGTGATGAAACTGTTAGTGGCTTTTAAACTATTTATCTACTCCGTGCTCGAGCCAAATAAGGTGGTCGGTAACTTTTCATTTATGTGACAAAGTTATTAGTGGCTTCTCAAGCTCAAACCTCGAAGTTGTCGATGGCTTCCCACTTGTGTGAGTGAAGTCACCGATGGCTCGCTACTCATGCTAATAAAAGACTATCAATCTTTAGAAACTCACCTACTTATCGGTAATAGGTCATGTTCATTAAAGATTAGCCAAAATTCTAACTTCCTTTATCTTTCCTCTTTGAGTAGGGGGCACTAGCCTTAGACCGGCTCTGAACCTCCAAGCTACTTTATTTTACATCCAAACACCTAAATTATTCTGTTTTTGCATCTTAAAAAAAATCACTTAAATAGGCATAGAAGCATAACATAGTAAGAAAATAGATTTTTATGTTCACATGCAAGCAATGCGATCTACCTTGGGTAGGACGGGGATAGTGGTGATGTTATATCTTTCTTCTATATAACCAATCCTTTACCTAGATATCTATACATATTAGTATGTTTAAATTTTTTTAGTTTTTCTCAATTAGCTATGTGGAGACCCCTTATTCACCCACTATTCCATTTCCCCTCACGACCCCTCGTCAATAGAATGATGACTCCATTAGAGACTATACCATGCTAGGGTTGAGCTTCGAATGTCTCTATGGATCGATTTTATAGTAGCCACATACTTTGCAAACTCAAATAACTCTTATGGTTGATTTGGTTACTAACAAAAAACCGAAAGAAAATTGAGCTCAAAGATTGAAATTGAGAAGTTCAATTCCATTGAGGAACATCTCACAACCATTGAGGGCATGGACATGTACAACCCTCTTTTGACAATAGATAGATGCTTGATTTTGAATATCATGATGCTTAAAAATTTCAAGTGCTAGAATTCTCCAAATACACTAGTAGTCAATATCCAGAAACTCATCTTAGGATTTACCCAAATACGATAGTCATAGTCTATGATAAAAAACTTCGATTCACTTCTTTCCATACTAATGTTTACTAGATTGGGGAATCTACTTTCAATCCAAATAATCATTTGAATCATTCTCATCTACCATAGACATTTTCTCAAAATGTTTAAGCAAAATATCCTTCGCGACTCAACCATTAGTAGAGATGATTCAATCAAGATAATCAAAGAAATACAAGTCATAAAAAATATAGAGAAATATTATCATCTCTTCTAGTGGCTAATCAACTTCTATGAAAACCACTCTATAACAACCTTTATTTTCTAAGTGGTATAATCCTAATTAATTTTACGAGTATCAAAATGGCACAATTCATCATAATAAATATGATTGTCTAGGTTTCAAAAAGGATATTCGATCATTGATTGACCAAGGCTTGATTTCATTTGATAATAGTTTAGGCACTCCAAATGTGAACACTAATCATCTTTCTAACCATACTACCATTGATGGAGTGAATACGTTGTGATTGGATGATATTCGGCGTTACAAAAAAAAAAGAAGAAGACAATTCTGAAATTTTCATGTCCCGTATGTTTAACACATTATTTACTTTCGGTATTAATAAGAAACTAGCCAAGTCATAAGCTTTTATTCATGTTTAGTCCTTTTGTAAGTTCAATAAAAAGAGTGAACATTATATTTCATCAAGAGGTATAGAACATGCTAGTTCTAGGCATCTTGAGAGTAGAAAAAGTGAAAAAAAAAATCAAAGAAGTCTTCATACATTGCTGATTAGTGCAAAAAAAAAAAAAAAAAAAAAAAAAAAAGTCTAAGTTAAAGCCAACCATTTTATGCTATGGTAGTGAACATTTTGGCGTAGAGAAAGCCGATGCTAATAACAAAGCCATACAATATAGGTTAGTGCTTGATAGTCTAAAAATGATAGTACTTTCTACCAACATACTTAAAGATGTCTTTAATGTCGATTAGTTTTTTTATGAGACCATCTAGGGAAAGGAGTAGAATGTTGATCTAATGAAGAAATGTCTTTTGTTTTCAAGGCCAAGTAATTTTTTTTTATCATATTTATCCATCACGTTTTCATATGATGTTAATTTATGGGATCATGCAAAAACTTTTTTCTTAAATTGCTATATTTACCTTCTTTTTCTATAGTGTTTCGTTCTTATTTTCACCTAAGTTTGGGACATTCTAAAAGGATCATGTATTTTATGGAAGAACAAAATAAATAAATAAAATTCTCCATCTAAGGGCCCAAGATCAAGCCATTGAATCTACTAACCATACATATATGAATCTAAAGTAAGGAACATGGATTACCTCTTGTAGCTCGTATCTAAATTTCTTTTTAAAAAAGTCGTCCAAGTGTCCGGCCTCTATTGATGATCCACACATTCTAAATATCCACAAAAAAAGCACTCAAAATAGGTAGAGTGCTAGTTCCATCTTTTTTTGATTTAGTGTTTCCTATAGAAAATCAATCTCGGGCAATTTTGCGATAACCTTAAAGGTGAAGGAAAGAGTTTAGCTTGCTAGGGTTTTGGAGAAAACTATTTTCTCCTATTTTTCTCTCTCTCTTGGACGTATTCCCTAATGTGTTTTTAGGGTTGGTCAAATTTTTTTCACTCAAAAAATTATTTCCCCTTTTTCTAGTTTTTGGTCGAACCTCTCTCTTTTAAAAAAACTTCTCTTATGTTGTATCTCTCTTCTTATTTATAGGAGGAGAGTTTTCGTATCCTCCAAAGACAAGTAGAGGGGCGACAAATAAGTCCTAATTGAACTTATAGTTGTTACTTCCTCATCATTGAAGGATGAGTTATTTTGCATGTGAACTTTTTTATCATTATCTTTAAAGCATTCATCCTTATCTAATAAGGTTGGTGTTTATCCTCCCATCAAAATATCTTGAGGCTTTTTAATTAAACCAAATGGGCTAAAACCATTTTAGCCCAATTAATTTATTTAGACTATCTAAATAAATAATCTTAGATTATTTTAGACGGGTCCACATTATGAAACAATTTTCTAAAATGCCCTTTAACTTAAATTAGGAAACCCATTTTCATTTTAAGTTATTTACTTCTAAATTTAGAACTAACTTTCAAATTAGGAAATTGATTTCTAAAATAGAAAACTTTATATTTTAGAAAACTTTCTAATTAAGGAAACTTTTCATTTTGGAAACCCTTTCCAAAATAGGAAAGTTACATAATTTGAAACTTTTTTCAATATTTTTGCTTCGATTTATAATGTGAATACTTAAACTTATGCGTGTGACTCAATAGGCTCCTAGATATATTGAAAATATATCAAGAACCAAAGACTCCTATTTTATCTCTTGATACATAAATCAAGATTGGTCTCTAGCAAGACATCATGACTACCTAATTCTCTAGGAGGATTAGTTAATCTATTATTAACTTTCACGAGCATGGTTAATGTATAATTTAGTCCTCATGTCAATTTATCACGAGTGTGATCTTGAACTTGGTTATTAGTCTTATTCGATTATGATCACACAAGTTTTCTTCGATTCCTAAATAAATGTCTTAGGTCTTAAAGTAAACCAACTATGCTTTATTGGTGTACTCTTACTCGTGGTCATAGATTTCTCAAGCAAACATTTATGAAAGTGCAATGTGATAACTCTTTTAGCATACAAGGAATGACATGTCCTATCCTATTTATACACCTACCTCCATTGAATTCCTAGTGTACCCAATGAATGGTCCATGTGTAACCCATTAATGGGTCCATCAAAACGAGTGTCAAAATGCATAAGTCCTCCAATAAGACAATCATGACAACTTCAAGCTTAAGGACAATTTATACCCATCTCGTATA